GTGTGTGTGTGTGTGTGTGTGTGTGTGTGTGTGTGTGTGTGTGTGTGTGTGTGTGTGTGTGTGTGTGTGTGCGCGCGCACGTGTGTGTGTGTGTGTGTGTGTGTGTGTGTGTGCGCGCAGGTGTGTGTGTGTGTGTGTGTGCGCGCGCACGTGTGTGTGTGTGTGTGTGTGTGTGTGTGTGTGTGTGTGTGTGTGTGTGTGTGTGTGTGTGTGTGTGTGTGTGTGTGTGTGTGTGTTTGTGTAAATGCATGGAGACAGATGTTAAATGTGCATACATTCGTGTTTCTTTTTTTACTAAGCTTCCACAGAGCTGTTTGCATTTCACTTCTGTTCACTGTGCATGATGTGGTGGTTGATTGGAGGGAAGGAGGAGTATTAACCCCCCCCCTCCAGCCCTCAACCCTCCAGTCGCAGAGGTCAGGGTCTGGCTGAGGTCGGGTAAATGCAACTGGGGTGGACCTGGTGTAACAGATAACACATGTATCACACCATCAAAAGACACAATGTCACGCACAGACGATGCCAGTCTAATCTGTTAGGCAGCTTAGTATCAGTTTACTGTGATGAAGTCTAACCCGACTCCACGCTGACCTGCTTACAGTGCTGGGATGTAACTGAGTACATTTACTCGAGTACTGCACTCAGGTTCAAATTGGTGTCAACGCCACTTCATACTTTACTGTGTCTGGAAGCTTTAGGCACGTTACAGATTCAGATTTTTGAACACAAAACATAGATGTTGTGTTTCTCTGCAGGAGAAACTACAAACGTTATATGAGTATGGCTTATCAAATGTAAAGCTTTACTGCTTTTCCTAAAAGAGATCTAAATTAATATTCCATAATTTTTAGGTCTGCACTACAAACGTTAAGAAATGGTAAATATTTTTTTGTTTTTTTACAATGTTAACTGACATTAAATGAAATAGTGAAATCAGCCCCATTAACCAAGAACAACAGTCAAATGCAGCAACAAAATTATGCTAAATTAAGTTTAGCAGGGGCTTTGATAATAGCACTCAAATATTATATATCATAGAATAAAAGTCAAAGGGGACATTTAGTTCTGCATTGAGTACTCTGAATGTGATCACAATATGTATCATTTTCACTGAAGGAATTTTAACAGAGACTTTTCAGTATCCTGATACTTAACCAAAGTAAAGGGTCAGAATATTTCCTCCACAACTGCAGACCACAACTTTCATTTCATAGAGAGAAAATATCACAGAGTATATCTTTCAGCAGATCCCACCCACACCAGCAGTGCTGACGGAGGGTAATGAAACCCACGCTGCTGCAGAGCTGCTCCCAGCTGCTAAAACAGGAAGCAGTAAGCGACTGCACACTCCTGTAACCCCCCCCAATCCCCAAAATCTTCTGCTCTGATGCAAATAAAGCATGCTGTAGGAAAGTAATGGAGAAACAACAACATATTAATAATACATTTTAAATATTAAGCACAAAAAACAGTTTAAAAGAGCTTTAAAAAGTTAAACCAGGATTGAAACAATAAGGACAAATGAGGCAAAATGTTGAATATAAAAAGGCAAAGAATGAGACATAACATAAATAATGAATTAAAATAACACAGATAAGATATTTCGATTTTGAATAAGAACAGGGCTGAAAGTTATACTTATGTTATTTTTTGTATAATCTGGATATGATCTTTTGATGATTAAATTATAAAGAAATGTCTTTACAAAATCACTGAAAATAGTGAAAAATGGCCATCATTTTTTAATTGCTGAAACTAACTTTATCAACCAGCTTCATATATCCTCAAAAATATGTATTTTATTAACAGAAAAGATAATAAACAGCAACATTACTTAAAGCTTAAACCCCAGGATATATTGAATTTTCAGTAAATAAAAAAATTATAAAATAATTTTAGAATATTTGTAATTTAATCTAAAATGCTAATTAAAATGTTTTGATTTGAGGATAAATGATTAAATAATGTATTTTTCCAGCACTCAATCAAATAATGTCTTAGATTGTTCATTTTTTCTATTAAAACAAAAATATTTAAATGTGGATGTATCAATCAAGGGTTTATAGGTAAACAGGCACCTATAAAGTCTTTGTGAGTAAACACATTAACCACTGAGGTAGATTAACCTCATCCTGTCGCGTCTTATCAGATCCAAAGCTTTACAGACAGACATCCAGCGTCCACAGGCAAACATTGGGAATGCTGACAAATGAAAAAGTCTCATTGCAGCTTAATATCATGAGCGGAGCCGCAGGGAGATAGAAACAATTCCCCGAGGTTAAAGGAGAGGGCAAGGACATGTTGCATCACTGCTGCACCAGATCGATGCTCAGTTTACACTCATTTCAGCCTGAAGGGGAGACAGTTCGACAAATCAAATCAAGTTTTATTTATAGAGCACATTTAAAAACGATTTTTGGTCGAGCCTAAGTGCTGTACATGTATTAAAAGCACACTACAATAACATGAGAAAGAAAAGACAAGAATTTGCAACAGAAAACCAAGTGTGAAGAAGCACTCAGATCTTTCACTTCAGCAAGTTCAGGCCCCTCCAAGGGTCCCCAAATTAATCTGAGGACTTTTGAGATGATTAATGGGAAAGGAAATAAGAAGAAACTAAGTTTGCATATACACACATTTGTATTAATTCAAAACGGTGATAACGAAACGTCCAAACTATTAATTGGAAATGTTATATTTTGATTTTAAATCTTAATTTGAAAAGTAACTACAGTTATCAGAAATATATAAAAGTAAGGAGTTTAATATTTCCCTCCCTAGTTAAAACTGCAAATATATATTATGTGCAGATTTAAATATGAAATATTTGTTATGCGCCAGTCCAATAAATACACTACGTAAAATAATATGAACAGGTTGATGATCAGAAAAATAACTCACAAAAAGTTTTGTGGGAAACGTGTTTGCAAACCGTGTCATAGCCTGAAGGAAACAATGCTAATAAGAAAGGCGATACTAAAGCAAAACAGTGAAGTTATATAAAGAAACCAAAACAACCCGCTGAAAGATGATAAAGAGGCTTTTAAGAGCTGAGGGGAACTGCAAATTCTGCATATTTTCAATGTGAGCGACACTTTTACCATAAAACATTGTTATTTCGATCATTGATTATATATTAAAAATGAATTGGTCAAGCTTTCAAGTAAAATAAGTGTTTAAGTCAAGTCATTTGCAAAGCCACAAAGTCCTTATTAGAATTTTAAATCTATTCTTACAGTGTAACAAGATAACAATCTGATGGAGTGATGACATGAACAGTTTTTTTTTTATCGTGAGTGATAAGTCACACTGGGTGGTCTCGGGTATAGGGACATAAGGGGCTTTAATAACAGCACTCTCATCTGTAGATATAGCCAGCAAAGGATTATGGGGGATTACTATCACTGTGTGTCTGCCACTATGACCGCTGCACATAAATCACCAAACATTACTGATCAGGATCTGCATTGTTTCTGTTGCACAACGTGGATCAGCTGATTTATTTACAAGCTGCTGCTGCATTTCTTCTGTTTATGCCTTGAAACACTTTAAATTCAAAGACGCTCTTACACAACACTGCAGTCCTTTAGTCGAACTATATGCATGCTGTGTAATATATCTGTGCT